GTATATCTAACTACACGGCTGTGCCTTTCTCGGGGGAGCTCGCAATGGGGGGGCACCGGGTGGAGGGCACAGGCGGGCTGAGATCTGTCCTGAGCCCCGACTGCCCCACCTCCTTCACACACCCGGTCAGCAAGGCCTCCGGCACACACGTGCGCGTCACATACGTGTGCGGGTCACCCGGTGTAACTCTGCACGCCCTGTCTGCCAGGTGTTGCTGGAGGAGGTCTGCGGTGACGACTACGTGTGCGTCTGCGACCTTCAGGTGACCTTGAATGTCACCAGGTGAGACCTGAGGGGGCATCCTTGTTTACTTGTACTGTCCCGAAATCCCTCACACAAGTCAGATTTTACGTTAAGTCAGATGTACCTTCCCGTACTATTCAGGGAGACCTTACAGTATAAAACACATACGCCAAGAATACACTAGTATTGTATACTAAAGCAGTGTTTTTTAACCTAGTCCTTGGGCTCTCCTAGACAGTCCATGTTTCTGCTCCCTCCCAGCTCTGTGGACTGTCAGGTGGTCCCTAATGACCGCTTTGAGAAACACTGCTCTGAACAACACAAATAATCCAAAGGTGTATCTCTGCTGAATTGCTGTGACATGGTTCCTGACTGTGCGTTTCCTCTGTCCTTCAATGTTCTTGTATCCTTGCTGTTGATGGTACCACCACCATCTGCCAGGTCCATCATCCTCACGTGCTGCGTTCTGCCACTAAGCTAAAGCGCTAATGAGCTAATGCGCTAACCCCATCAACCGTCCATGTCTTCTCGATTTCCAGCCTAGTGGTCATCAAAGCCCCCGATTTCCCGGTGGATCTCGTGGTCCACGTATCCAACCAGGGTGAAGACGCGGCAGGAGTGGCCCTGACGCTGATCTTCCCGTCCTCGCTGTCTTTCAGCCAGGCCACCAAGGTCAGCGGGCTTGATGGTACGTAGGGCGCCGCTCACGGTCACTGCTGATCATGCTGATCTCATTTCTGTTCTCTCCACAGGGATTGGGGCAGGTCAGTCTGCGATGCACGTCCAGCAGTCTGGATCTCAGCAACGTCACGCAGACTGTCTGCCAGCTGGGTTCCTACGCACTGAGGCAGATGACGTCGGTGAGTGTGAATCACCCAGAACCTTCTGTCGAGTCCTAACCGTGGCACTTGTGAAACTTCGCTGTGTGTCCTTTATTTAAACATCTGGTGAACGAATGGGTGCATTGTCAGGACGTAACATCCCTGGGTGAACAAGCTGCCTTCCCCCTCAACATCATGTTAACTGCTAATCCTACCAACCGCACCATGCAGAAGGACACCAATTGGATTGTTATGTGGCCAACCGAACACTTTCCCTGGGTTTGCACTCTTAACCGGCAGAGTAACTCTCTGTGCACACATCGCACACAGTACTTGCTCGCAGAACCTGCAGTACTAACTCCAGTACATCAGCTTACTCAGAGTGTACTCGCGCTCTACTCCAGATGGCGGTGCGAGTCTCACTGCAGGTGTCTGATCCCATGCAAGTGGAGGACGGCATGACTGTTACTGTGTCCGCCAACAGGTATCATTCCGTGAAACCGACATCATTAATTAGGGAGCCTGAACTCTCTGGGGCATTTTCTATGCACTGGTTTGCGCTGGTAATCTCCTGCTCCATTAACAGGTTACATGCATCGGTTGTCTCCGCTCTGTTCTGTGTCCTCCACAGCACGAACGAGAACACCACCACCCTCCAGGACAACTCAGCTACCAGCCTCATCTCCACGCGGCTCCCTGTCAGCGTGCTTCTTAAAGAGTGGGTACAGGGGGCGCTTTCGTTCCCCAGCTACCCCCCTGCCTCGCTTCGGCATCTGTGCCGCTTGCCCTGCCCCCGCTGTCCTGTGCGTAGGTGGCACTTAACCGGAACCGTCGGCGGTTCTATCGGAACCGAAACCGAACCTGTCTTGCCTGTTCATGGATGTGTTTGTGTGTTGACTTGAGTGAGGAATCGATGACGAGCTGCGTCGCGTCTCGCTGGCTGCGAGGGGATTCCACATGCGTGTGTATGTCCCCAGTCATGTGCATGTCCCCTGTGCACGTGTGTCCCCTGTGCATGACCCTTCAGCCTGTTCCACAAACTGGTGCTAGTCTGGTCCTTCATGTCAGCCATATTGCTTTAGGAAGGACTCCACTCATTACCTGAACTTCCCAGAGAACATCACGCTGGAGCACGCCTACATGGTACCGCCACCGCCGTTGGCGCGGAATGATGACATCACGGTTGCTCAAACGTCCAGCGGAGGAAGTTACGGGGCCTGTGTTCCTCCCCCAGGTGGAGAACGTTGGGGAGACGGAGGTCCCTCTCAACGTCAGCTTCATTTTGCCTCTTGATCTGGACTCTGGCTTCAGGTGGAATGTGTCTCTCAGGAAGGAGGTCAGTGCAGAGCCCTCGTCCCCGAATCCCTGTCCTGCCATCTGCCTGGGGTGTCTTACCAGTAACCCAGCGACAAAGTGACCTTGTCTCTCTCTGTCTGTCTCTCCGCCCCTGTCTCTGCCTTCAGGGTCACACCACCACTGGCTGCACCAACACCAACATCTCCACCCCCCCCACGCAGGTGAGCGCCGTCTTTACTTCATGTCACTTCCTGTTGATTTCCTCACCAGTTTCCTGTATCACGATCATACTGTGAATCATGAAGACGCCCCTGAGCGAAGCCGGTTCCCGAAGTACCATTAACACCCCCCCCCCCCTCGTCTGCTAGCACTGCAGCACCCCGCCCTGCCGCCTGACTTACTGCGTCGTCCCACGTCTCCCACCGGGGACGCACATCACTTTCACATTCGACGGAAACGTCACTTCAGACTTTGAGGTGAAGCTCCTTGCCCAACCCTTGCCCTCAGCATTGACGCGTCACTGTATCAGCCGGTTGGTAGCCTGACTAGCGAGGGCTTCATGCTGCTCTCTGGCGCCCCCCGCAGGTCCCGGGGGCCCATGTGCGAGTGGCCACCTGGGCCAACATGTCCTTCGACCAAGCCCGGTACACCCAGTACCCCGCCGACCTGGCTCACAACCTCTCTGTAAGTAAGAACGGCAGCGGCCCGGTGGGTCCCTCCTGGGACCTGCGCTAGCTGTGTGCGTCTCATGACAAGTACCTTAAAAGACGTGCATCAGTTGTCCCCACCAAACAACAGCTGCTTTGCATCCTCAGCTTGTGACTGTGCTTGAAACGGCGCCCAGTTCCAACAAGGCTGCCATCATCGCGGGCAGCATCTTTGGGTCGCTGCTGCTCCTGGTCATCACCACTGCCATCCTCTACAAGGTGGGAAGCTGGGCTGGGGGCACAGGAGGGGGTGGTGGGGCTGGAACAGGCATAGCAAGTCACAACGCTAATATTAGGGCCATCATGACCATCAGTACAGAGGCCAGCGGTGTCACCTACTCAGGGTACCATGTCCCACCAGAGAACCTTCCAGTCACATGACGTTACCCACTTTCGCTATTGTGTTGTTGGAGCACCAGCATTCAGGGAGTCCTCCCACCAGCAGGGGTCGCCACCTGCCTCTCCCTCCTAGTCATACCAGCCCTGTCAAAGCTCCCTTCCAGCACTCATCCTGCTGTCTTGCATCGTCATTATTCCATTACGCACCTACTGATGTTGCCCCCCATCCCCCACCAAGTCTGCTAACTGCCACAGGCCTGTATCAGGCCAGGCACCCTGGGACTGTTTAATATTTCTTAATAATGCTCCATGGATGCTAAAGCAGAAATAAACTGAACTTGTGTTACTTTATACACATTCATAGGCATGAATAATAAGGAATGTAAGGGCCATATGGAACATGTTTTTGTTGTTTGTTTAAATTATTGTGTTATTCATTAGAATATGTCTAACAGTATTGTTTAGTTCATTACTGTGGAGTGCATTCGTTAGTTTAACCACTGGTGGAAAGAACTTGAGTAAAAGCACGTAATATGTCAGGTGATATACAGACAGTCAAGTGAAGTAATACAGTTATCTGACCGCCTACGATTAAACTCAACAAATTAGACAGTGGAAGTATAAACATCTTAAATGCTTTGTCTTGTAAATGCTTCCTTTTGATATATTTTATTAGTAAACGTTTTTTAAATGAAGATTTTGAGTTCGGGAATTTTTCGTCGCGTCAGACTAGCTGCTAAACACCTGCTCCGTTAGTGGCGTACAGGAGGAGTGCCGCTTACACGAAGTATTATTAAAACATGATTGCCTAAAAATAGTTTTGAAATATCTGAGTTCTGTATCCGGACCCTGATTCATCTGTACAGTTGCCCGGGTGACCGACAATCAGCCAATCACTTTTGAGCTTTACAGAGCAGTCACTGACCTCACTGTTTGGCTTTTTTTCTCCTGCACTGCCCTCCCTCTCCACAAGATCGGCTTCTTTAAGTCCCAACATGAGAATGAAGCTGAGACAGAGGGACCCACGTCGCCCCCTGATGACAAACAGACTGTACTGTAGCCCAGAGCAGCCAGCTTTCCCGGCCCCAGACAGCACACAGCGTCCATAAAAGCACCCTGAAGCTGATGAAGTCCTGCAATGAGCCAGCAGCGTACAGATGACCAGCGACGTGGTGTCCTCACGTGTGCCTGTGTGAACTGCAACTGGAACGGCATCATCTTTCTATCTCTTTACTAGGCAGTTGCACCCCCATTTTACCTTGGTTCACCTGTCCTGGTGCTTTTTAACTTATTGACATCGTAGCATTACTGTTTTGTGACACTGGGGTTGTGTTTAATTCTCGGCTTTTTTTTACTGGTATGAATAAAAAGAATCTGAACATAAGTTTGGTTCTGTGCTAATTCTGTGGCGCTGCTAGGCGGGGCTTTGAACTTGCAACCTTCAGGTGAGTTTTAAGGATCCGCGTTGTTCCGCGAGGATCCAGAGAGCAGACAGAAGCGGACCGTAGGGCGTTATCGCAACTCGCAGACACGGGAAAAATCAAGAAACGTGTCATAAGTCACAACCTTGCGATTAAAGGCGCGGACACACCCAGGATGCAGGATAGTTTACTAGAAATGCAACTGAAAGACAGAACAGCTGGAGGGATATTAGCATATTCACACGCTGAACTGTTTACATGCTACAATGGGAGTTCAGCTGCTGGACACGTAACTGATCAGGGACGGTAATTTTTTTAAACAGTAATTAGACATTACAGCAGCTGAATGGCCAGAGCAGGCGTTACTGCCTAAATAAAACGGTTCCATCAGTTCCTGTTTCCAGGATGGTGAACAAATAGATAACGATTAAGTAAGTAGCATAAGACACATGAGTAACAATGATAAACACTGCTTCGTTCAGCTTGAGTAATCCCCGGTTATGCGGCACATTCCTCCCACGTTGAGGGCAGAGTAGGACGTTTCTCTCATCTCGCTAACCCAGTGGTTCCCAACCTTTTTTGGCCAGTGACCCCATTTTGACATCACAAAAATTCCGCCGACCCCATATACATTTTTTTTCCCTACAATTAGTTTTTGATCATTTTTGTTATACCGTGTTGCAAATACAGAGTAGCCAGATTAGTGCACAAAGTCACATTTTACTTCCCCTCATCACATGTACAGTTAGGCGAGCTTGTCTTTACAAGGCTGAAAATTAATACTGAACAATTCCTTAATGAATTAGGCCTATGGGAAAAAAAAGAGCTACTGCAATATCTTAAACTGGCCACAGTGTGTAGTATTATTGTCTCTCTCAACTCACCACATTTAATGGGGTGGCTGAGCCTTAACACCTCGCTGCAGCCTTTCAAAGTCAGGTGCTGTAGTAGACAGAGCGCATCTCATCACTGACGTAACATCCAGTCGGGAACGGCACTTCGACTTAATACAGGCAGACAAGACGTTACCACACAGCAAACATTCCTGCCTTTCTTCATCGCTTTCAATGATGCTAGTAAATCCATATTGAAGGAAACTTTCGTCGTATTTTCTCTGTCTTTCTGATGTCTGTTTCTCCAGTTCTCTAACTGTCTTTACGGTGCCAGGCGGGCAAAGAAATCTTTCCCTTTTGCTTTTCTGTTCTGGCTGCAACTTTCTTTACTCTTTAGACAAGCGAGGGAAACTCCAGTAGCTCATCAGGTGATCGTGATCATTTTATTTGAACTCATATTTATTGATATTTATGAACGTGAAAAAATACAGTTGTCTAAGATTGTATGTGGTGTTTTAATCATAATTTTTAAAAGAATAATAATTAGTTGAAAAAAAAAATGTATCAGTATTTTTTATTTTTTTTTAAATCAACTACTAGACATTTCAGGGCACCCCACGTGGGGGCGCGACCCCAAGGCTGAAAAACACTGGGCTAACCTCTGACCTCTAGTTTTGTAACAAAAAAGGTTAAAGGGCATTTGGACAGAGCCCAGCAGCCGCAGAAACAGAGGGAGGGAGATTCCTTTGGAGGGCTGAGAGAACGTGCTGGAGATTAGCCACAGACACAAAATTAGCTTCAATTCTGGTAAACAAAAAAAATGCATGATATGACTTTCCGAAAAAACGTTTAGAGGATTACCAAGCAAATCTGTGTACCTGCTTTTAAAAACGTTACAGCACGGTAATGCTTACCAAAAACAACTTCCCTTTATTCATAACAGCATAACATTAGTAAATATTTATATATCATACAACTCCTTCAGTTTCTCCAGATCCAGACCAAACTCAGACCTCATTAAAACCCAACAGATTCCATCTTCACCTAAACGCACACTGTCCAAGAAGCAAGTCAGAGTGTGTGTACACAGTGTGACCACACACAGGACAGGCACTCTGTGTGTGTGTGTGTGTGTGTGTGTGTGTGTGTGTGCGCATTAGAAGCCCAGGGGGTTTGGGGTCACGACTCCCCCGTTCTCCACCAGTGCTGCGGAGATGTTTTTGATGTTTCTGTAGATCTGTTTGCTAGAGCTGGACCTGAGCTCCTTCATGTTCTTCATGATCCTGTCATGGGCCTAAGGAAGAGGAGGATGGACGAAGAACTGGTGAACAAAACAGGCGAGATGATATCATACCCAGCAGCTCAAGAGTTTCAGCCGCAGGCCCTGTACTGGCCCTGCTGTTGGACCTTTGAGCCGGGTGATCATTCACAACTCCCTCCAGCTTGAGATAAATGCATCTGCAGAGCAGGTATGACGAATCAAAGCATGTGAAGGAGGACGATGGGATGCAGGCCTCACCTCCACACACCAGGTCTCACACAGGATCTTCTCATGCTGGGCGGAGGGGAGACCCTGACTCAACGAGCGGGAAGCCCTGGGAAATAGATAGGAATCATCACGGGGACGGGGATGGGCCGCAGGACCGAGAACCAGACGGGGGGGGGATCGTCACAGGACTGGGACGGGCCGCGGGACCGGAGACCGATAACCGGACGGGGGTGACCATCAGACTTCCAGGAGAGGAACAACAGCAAGGTGCCTAATCGCTAAACCATATTCTCTACATCAGCCAGGGGATAAAAACGTAATCAGGAGTAACAACATGCAAGTGAAGTTCGGGATCTTAGCGATATAACACTGAATGATGTGACCATCAGTCACTGTGATGTGGTTAATCACCAGGGCTGTGTGTACACACACACACACACACACACACACACACACACACACACACACACTACCTAGAGAGCACGACCACCATGGCGTAGAGGTCGATGGCTCCGTCCGCCACCCTCTGCAGCACCAGCTGTTCATCTGGAAAGAGGGATGGGATTGCTATGACAACAGCAGGGAGCCACGGCATATCTGGGTGGCTGCATGCTTTGGGGCCTGGGATGGCCCTTTGGCGCCCCCTGGTGGTGAATTGTGGAGCTGGTCGGGACACAGGCTGGCCCTCTTACCGATGATCTTCTTGCCGTGTTTCAGCAGCAGCTCCTCCACGGTGAGGCCGAACTGCTCGATGGCCTTCACCACCTGCGGTGGGGACACCCAGGGTGAGCGGTGAGGGACAGGGGAGACGGTGAGAGGACACGGTTTGGCAGCAGGCGGCTAAGGGCCACAGGGGCCCGTCTTACCAGGTCCCCGCTCTGGGCAAGATCCGGATGCACGGTCCCCTGCAGCGTGAGCCCTGAACCCAGACCCGCCTTCCTGCACATGCAGAAAAGAAGCACGGTCACATGACCTGCCCTGCTGGATACTCGCAATGCATGCTGGGAGTGTGTGAATGCACTCACCTCCTAACCCTTTTGCCGATCTCTCCTGTCAGCAGTCCCAGGTTACCAACTGGGTTCTTCAGCGCCTTCTGCAGGCCCTTCAGCTGATTTCCAGCATTCTGCCGACAGAGGACAGGCCTTCATGTCATGTGTCCTCCCCCGATAGACCACAGGGGGGTGTGCGTGCGCCGCCCGCTACCTGGAAGCCGTTGAGCGCCACGAACAGCCGCAGGATGTCGTTGGTCCCCTCGAAGATCCGGAATATTCTCAGGTCCCTCATCACCCGCTCCACGCCCGCTTCCTGAACACGGAAGCGCATCAGCCAGGTGGTGATGGGGACTCGCACGCATGCAACACGCACACGCCGGCGACTCAGTCTCACCTTCATGAAGCCCATGCCTCCCAGTATCTGGATGCACTCGTCCGTCACGCCCCAGGCCGCCTCCTGCCAACAAAGACCCACCACCAATCAAAGACCCCCAGATGGGGAGACCCCCTCCCGGCACAGCCGGCACTCTATCAGGGGTACTTACGGAGGCGAAGATCTTGCTGATGGCGGCCTCGATCTGGAACTCCGAGGCCCCGCTGTCCATGTTGCCGCTTACCATGTAGGCCATGGACTGGGGGGGGGGGCAGGATGGAATTAGAGACCTGCAACAGTGACACAGGTGGAAGCCCTAAGGTGGCATGACGACTTGCGGCGACTGACCTCAGCGACATAGTGCAGCATTGCCATGCGCGCCATCTTCTCCTGGATGATGCCATAGCTGTGGATCTTGTTGCCAAACTGTGTCCTGTTGACAGCGTGGTCCACCTGTTATTGGGGGGGGGGGGTTCAGTGTGGGAGGCACGGGGGGGTGGAATCGTCCTGCTCCTCCGCTGATGCCCCTGATCCTGTCTCCCAGGCACCACCAGGGGGCGCTGTAGCGAGACAGGCCGCTTACCGCCTTGGCGATGACGCCCTTCATGGTGCCCGCCAGTGCCGCCGCCATGCCGAAGCGCCCGTTGTTCAGGATGTTCATGGCCACCTTGAAGCCGCCGCCCACCTCGCCCAGCACGCACTCGGCCGGCACGCGCACGCCGTCGAAGTACACCTCAGCCGTGTTGGACGCCTTGATGCCCATCTTCTTCTCTGGGGGGCCACTAGGGGGCGTGAGGCACGGGATGAGGGCAGGAAGGATGGGCACAGGGGATGGATGATGGGGGCAATAAATAAAGAACAACCAGAGAGTGCCATTTACAGAGGATGGAGAAGAAAAACATTACAAACAAAAACGATGGTTCTGTCACCCTCCACCTTCAGCTCCTCCCCAAATCCACACCCCCGACCCCCCCCCACCTCGTCACACCGCCGTGGCCCCTCTCCACAATGAACGCCGTGATCTTGTCCTTCATCTCCCCGGTCTTCTCGTCCTTCACCGCAGTCTTGGCGAACACGGTGAAGATCTCAGCCAGGCCGCCGTTGCTGGGTGACACGGAAGCAGAGAGTCACACACGTCCCTGCAGCATCACGCGCGAGCGTCCCGGTGATGGAGCACGTCCCTGCAGCATCACGTGCGAGCGTCCCGGTGACGGCGCACGTGCCTACCTGATCCAGATCTTGCTCCCGTTCAGGGTATAGTACTTCCCGCAGGGCGAGGGCACGGCCGTCGTCTTGATCGACGCCGCGTCCGAGCCGCTCGCCGGCTCCGTCAGGCAGAAGGCGGCCACGTGCTCACCTGCGGCGAATGGGTGTTACCACGGCGACACAGCAGTGCTCACCGGTGAGTGTTTATGGGAGCCGGAGCTCCGCTCTGCACGCTCACCCGAGGCCAGCTTGGGGAGGTACTTCTCCTTCTGGGCCTTGTTGCCGAACAGCAGGATTCCCTTGAAGCCGATGGACTGGTGGGCGCCGAGGGTGATTCCCACGCCCAGGTCGTGCATGCCCACGATCTCCACCAGCCGGGCGTACTGGGGGGGGGGGGGGAGAGCAGGGGGTCCCTGTCAGTGTCCCTTCCAGTCTGACGGGGCCATGCCCATAAACCCCCATCAAGCCCTCCCTCCGGACTCCCTCACCTGCGTGTTGTTGAGACCGAGCCCCCCCAGGTCTGTGGGAACCTGCAGACCAAAGGCCCCCATCTCCTTCAGCCCCGCCATGGTGGTCTCCTCCACCATCTCCAGGTTCTCATTCTTCATGGGATCGTTGACCTCCTTCACACGCAGGTGGGGGGGTGTGGGGGGATTAAACATGTGCCGATTACTGAGAGCTGTGACTGTGGCGTGACAGTAAATGAAATTAATCTGACTAAGAAGTCGCATAATGAAAACGCCATCAGTGAAAAGCCACTTTAGCATTTCAAACAAAAATGCGGAAACAGTCACATGACCCGTCAGGCTTTCCTTTGCTTTTCGAATTATACTGCATAACAAAATGCTGTGCAGACAGTTATACCACAGAGTAAATCATGACGAAAGAAAAATCAAAAACACTTACAGTGAAGAATCTGGAGACAGGGCCAACCAGCTCTCTGATGAACTCTGACTGCTCCTCATTTAGCACTGCGAGAGGAAAATCACAGCTGTTACGCAAAGCTCATTCTCCAGGACACTAAGAAACATGGGTCCCTGAGCAAAGCACCATAAGGGACACTGCAGTGTTTCCCCCTACCATTATATTAGGGGGGCGCCCCACCCCCCCAACGGCACCTCCCGCCGTTGAAGGTCAAGTTAATTATTATTTAAATTTTATTTTCTATATAGCACCAGATCACAACAGAAGTCATTTAAGTTTACATTTGTCCTTTTATTAAACAAACTTGTCTCGACACGGTCGCGTGTTTACAATTCTCCTCTGCTCTCTGTACCGCGCATGCCGGAGTTCCGCCCCGATGCACGGGCACAGACACGTGCGCGCACACACAGGTGAGCAGACTCCCACCAGCGGACAGAGAGCGCGCGTCGGAAAATGTGTCGCGTCAACCTGACCACCCGAAAAGCAGACAAAAATATCTGCGTTTTTTTTAAACACTCCAAGCTATCAGCTATCACTTTTAAAGCCTAACAGTTAATTTATTTGCAGGTCAAGACAAACATCCGCAATAGGCTGCAAGGAGACCATCTTGCAGCCTGCATGCGGATCTCAATGGGCCAGACGTTTCTGACTTCCCATATCAAGAGGCTCTGGAAATGTTCTTCCAGAAGCCCAGAGAGATACACTGCAGTGACAAAAGCTGCACACTTTGTGGATGACTGTCATAAAATAAATAATTGCTCTGATGTTTAGTTCAGTTGTTATATTGACTGTTGTCATTAAAAGAAACACATGAACAGCATGAATCCTGCTGGTGTCCGTCTGCCCCCCCCCCCAAAAAAAACACTGTAAACCTAGGGGAAACACTGCACTGTCTCCAAAAAAAAAAAACTCCACTGGATTAATTCTTACAAAACCACCTATGAAGTTATGCGGCAGACAATGCGGCAGAAAATGCGATGCACTCCACCCACCTGAAGGGAAGGGAAAGACCTGGGCAGTGCTTATCTGACCCTTGAACATGTTTACAGCAAAGGACTTGGATTCCTAAGAGAGTATAACGGGACATCAGAAGTCATTAGAATAACTCATTCACACATAACAATCGCTAATGGGACACCCCCCCTCCGCCCCTCATCTAGACTCCACGGCTACGTATCAATGCGTAGACTCAGACGTCCAATTGCTACCACTTTTACTTCTTGCATTCTTGCTCCCCGATAGTCGCGCGTCAGCAACATACCAGGCCGACCGGTTTCTTCTCAGCTGCGGCCTTAGCAACGGTGTCGCTGGCAACCGCCGGCTTCTCCAGAACTGCCTGGAGAGGAGAGAGACGGCGAGAGGGGAAGAGGGATGATACGGAGACGGAGGGAACGGAGGGAGATGCGGGTGACGCGACAGAGAAATCATCCCTGCGTCTTGCTGAATAGCGACTGCGTGTCCTGGCGCGTTTGCAGGTATGCAGAGGTCAGGCTCCAGAACGGAATCTCTGGCAGGACACCACAAGGAGAAAGCGGCGTGGAGCCAGAGTGGCGACAAACAGATCAGCTGTTTATAGCATCCAAAGCGACTGCGACCTTGAACTGTAACCCACATGTCTCACCGGCTTCCATTCCGTTTGCTCTTACAGATGGACCACAACACAAAGACTATTTCTGCAGTCCGGATTGCGATCAACTGTGCAATAAAACTGTAAAAACGCTAACACTGTAACCTGGAAGAGTCAGTGATGTGTACAGACAGGTTAATGAATGATTCTTTCCATAAACACCACGAGTGCTCATCTGGATTCAACTATCACCATGTCCCTACACAATAAGCTTGATATTGCTCAGGTTGAGCAATATGATCATTATGCCTCTGTTCGCAAACAACAGTATTATTACTATTATTAAAATAGAGACTTCATTACTTTTATTTTTTTACATTAATTTTATTTACGTTTATTTAACTTGATTTTTTTTTGCCAGTCTTATTGAAACAGCATTATAACTACCTGACTGAAATTTCAGCACCATAGAGAATACTCATTCAGTCTCGGTTAATTAAGGACAGACTTCTGACCTTTAAATTTTATTACAATGAACACTTGGGTGTCTGTAGTTGAACCATTACATCAGTCGTACGTCCGACGTACCATTCATTCATTCATTCATTATTCATTAATTAATTCATTAATTAAAAGGTTCGGTCAAGGCAATGTGGATAAAGATTTCGTTTGCATCTATGGAGAACGCTATTTATGAAAATGCGCCGACGTGGGTAAGAGCGGAGACGAGTGCGCGCACGCCAGAGCACGCCGCCACCTTCGGCCCACATTGCCGGGGTCACGTGAGTCGCGCCGCGACCTTTCCTCCAGTTCTCAAAATGAAACGTCACATGGCCAACATACTGTAAATAACAATTCATTGACGCAGACAATTACTAAACCAACAGATGCTTTAAAGATATTTTCATCTGTTTTTAGTATAACATACCACTATAATACTCTAACAAGAAAGTTTGCCTTTTTATGTGTCTCCGAAGTCGGTTTCATTCTTCTTAAACATACCTCCTACATAACATATTACTTATTATATTTCCGTTAAAAGAGGACGGAACAATCAAAAAGCTAATCCTGTCCATTAGCTTTACCAAGTGAAATACAAATAAAGGTTTACCTCCGCAGCCTGGCTTGCATAGAGACGGGCATTCTGCAATGCTGCTACGCCAAACGGCCGTTTACACCTAAACAGAAACAAAATAAAGCAACAACCGCTTTTTATTAATTATTATTACTTAGACGAATGCTTTAAAAGACAAAATCAATAAGGGGATGTCTCCATTACGATGCTACGTGGCCGAATTGCGTGAAGCGAATTACCCAAAAACCATAAACATCAAAATTACTGAACACTATGGAAACGGATAAAAAGAACAGAAACGCAATTTCAAAAGTAAAAAATTGTAATTCTGTAATTCTAGTATTTTAAGCGCACGATCGCTTTAAATACTTCACAGGAAACTGGGGGGAAAGCAGACTTACCCGGCTAAGGAGGTGGGAAAGCGGAGAGCAGCACCGCAGGAAGCCGGGCTGAGGCTCACTGTACGCAGCAGAAGCATGTTCAGCGCTACCGGATTAACGCGTCCTAATGCTCAATGCGTTAATATACAGCAGCCAGAATAGATGCCGAACTGATCACAGTGTATTTATACCGCGAAACCGATCTGTTTCTTCGCACTGGGCTACCTACGATACCTCCGCCAAGCACACGCCTTCTGCGGGTTACGTCATCACGCCGCTGTACGTCCTTGACCTAAACAGCATAGATATGGCGCGACTAGAGGGAAACTATATACTTTTAATTTAGATATTGACATCTGTACCTGATATGTCTAGCTGTATATGTATTTCTCGTCTTTATCTTAAGGTCCGGCAACTGAAATCTCGGAGAACTGTTTCCTAACCCGGTCCTTAATTAGGAGGCCCCCAGACAGTCTGTCACGCTGGGGACGTCACCATGTAAACAAACGTTTGTATCACAGAAACTTAAAATGGCACAAATGAAAATTTCAACGGCACAAATGATTGAGTCAAGTTTTGTTAAAATCTGAAACATAAGGGGGGGGGGCAACCACGCAGCTGCTCCTTCTTTGCGCCCACAGACAAGAATGTTACTTGACTTAGGCTAAGTGGCACGAAATATTATACTTGCCTAAAAGAAGGAATCAAATATCATCTCAGATTCCTTGACATATTTTTCACCTGCCTTGAATTTCACTATTTCACTGTAAGCAACATGTTGTTAATGTTCTCAGTGTTTGCAGAAAAAAAGCGACTGCAAACTGCACCAAAGCAAAATACAAATGTTAACTGCATACTTATCTCTGAATGATCTGAGGAGAAATCTGTCACTGTTGATAAAAATGCAATTTTTATATGTAACATTTTTTTCCCCTCAAAACCAAACATTTTGCCACAGACACGTTTGTCCATGTAGGGACAGGCTGGCGATCCCTGGTGCCAGCGGATCGATCAACGATTTTCCCATTAACAGTTTTTCTTTCGGATCCGAACACAACGCACGAACATGAAAGGGTCGTAGAAGAATGGAAGTATATGGTTTGCATTTGTAACCAACCCCTCCGCAAACCCCCCAGCGGAATACTGGCCGCGGAACGGGGTGAAAATCCCTAAGCTGGAAGACTGTACTGCGTCGTGTTAAGCATGAATACAGAGTGAACTGGACTAAAACTATAAAGGACGTAAGGTACGTGATACAGTAAAACAGTCACTAACTGGTAATGCACGTTAGCATTACGTTAAATGACAAATTTACCTATTACCAGAATTGTCTCCTATAAACGTTCGCCGAATGACAGTAGGCAGAAGGCGGCGTGTTTTTCAGAAATACACCGGAGATAAACTTAAGCCGCATTATTTATAGGCACTTTTAACACCAACATTTGCAGCCATTAAGTCATAGGTGGTAGTAACACTGAAATGCCTCTTTCTGCGTCAAAATAAGGCAACACTGTGATTTTGATTTTATATTTTTTTTTTTAACTTGACCGTACCTTCCTCCCATTCCTCTGTCTCTGCTTATTGACGTTTAGGAGACTGTCAGATATAAATTAACGATGCAAAATTATCAAACCAAGACAGACACAACACTGAAGAGAAGATAAAGACACAGTTTGAATAGTAAGTATATGTTTTATTGTAAAGCTCTTATTTTATTTTTTATCTTAGCCTATCTAGTCTTGTTCTATTTTAACTTAGCCTATTTTATCCTATTTTACCCATGGACGTAAATTTCATTTAACAGTAGGGGGGGACAATAAATATAAAATTTCTCATGAGCAATTTTTGAAGGAGACACAAATAATACAGTCAAATTGTACTTATAAAGATATGTCCCCACAATGAAAAACTTTGTTTCTATCATTATTATTGTAGCATGGAGAATTATGGTTATTTTCAAAGTTTTTCTCAGGTTCAATGACAAAGCAGATTTTTCTTCAAAACTATTTATTGCATTGTTTGTTATGTTGTTTACAGTCAAGCCATCAACATACAATAAAATTTAAACATGACTGTTTAAATGCATATGTAACACTTCCGGGTTTCCCAGTCTGTGTTACGAGATTAAAACCTGTTAAACAGGGTGAAAAAGGAGACAATCGATCCCGTGTCTAGCCTTCACGAAAGTCTCTCAGTTCCGCTTTATTTCAGCATACAACATTTACAGTACATTCAGTGTGTGACTGGTTTGTTACAGTGACAATCACGTCCAAACAAATTGCAATTTATTGATTATACATTTCCGCTTATCACAGTCGTTCCCCCTTTGTTACACACTCAAAGTACCCCCCAAAATGGGTTTATTTAACATGGGAGGTGCAGACTTCGTTCCAATGCCAGTTGATGCAGGTGTATTTACTGAATGAAAAAATCCAACTTAAGAAGATTTTTTTTGGTGGAAGCACTAATTAAGAACACAATTAATTAGTGCTAATTAGAGTTTTATTTAACATGAAAGGTGCACAGTTGAAACCAACTTCATTACATAGTGTCACATCTCAATAGTTAGAAAAATAAACTTAAGAAGAAAAATGATGGTGGAAAGACCCCTTTTGAAGGGCCACACCCTGCCACACCCCCCAAAAATGGATTTATTCAACATGGGAAGTGCAGACTTTATTTCAGTGCCAATTGATGCGGGACTGTTCACTGAATGGAAAAAGCCAACTTAAGAACATTTATTTTGGTGGAAGCACTAATTAAGAACACAATTAATTAGTGCAAATTAGAGTTTTATTTAACATGAAAGGTGCACAGTTGAAACAAACTTCATTACATAGTGCCGCATCTCAGTAGTCAGAAAAATGACCTTAAGAACAAAAATGATGGTGGAAAGACCACTTAAGAAGGGCCACACCCTGCCACACCTAGCACCAACTCCAAAAATGGATTTAACATGGGAAGTGCAGATTTTATTTCAGTGCCAGTTGATGTGGGACTGTTCACTGAATGGAAAAACACAAGTTGAGAACATTTATTTAATTATAAATGTTTGATATATACCTACTACTACATTTCAACAGTTCAAAGAAAAAGGGGCTTTCTAAACGGGTAAACGGGGTTTTTAATGGTGAAGAGAGGCAGACATCCACGAACATACTAACAATAACTTACACACCAAAGTTCGGTCGATCTGATTCATTGTTTGGCCTCTTCATGAAAAGCAAGACTTTCTCTCTATCTTTAGCATATACATGTGTGTAAATGAATCTACCTTTTAAGACTCACACTTTCTCGAGGTGAGCACATAGTCCCTGGACCATTTCATTAAAATCTGAAACAATTCGATCTGGCAAGTGACGACGATGGTAAAAGAGATTTTTAAGACATTTAGCCTCTGTGACTTACGCTAAGTTTCTTAATTCCAGACATTTGGTGAATGCTTCTCTATCATGGCAATGAATGATAGCTCTCCAGTGCCTCTGGTGCCACCACACAAAACATGTATTCTTCACATTGAGCAAGCAAATCGATCAGCCCAACAAAGACCCGTGGTCCAGTCCTTCAACCCTGGAAAAATGGTCCGTTGTGAAAGAAGCTGCCTGTTTGAAATGAGCGCACACAGGACACCAGAATCAATGTCTTGACTTGTAACAGGGATCTACTGGGAAGACTCCTGATTCTAGCTTGCAGAAGGAACCTTGACTTAGAATATGTGTTTTCCTTTCCACTGACTCCTGTCCCTCTGTCCATGTGCAGTGGAGATGGAATGATGATGAAGACCCAAAAGAGTACTCTACTAGACCTTTTGGAAAAGAAAGTTGAAAATCATTCGAGACCCACTGTAGTAGATGTTTGCATCATTGATGGAAACTTCCTTCTTCACAATCTTCCACCCAACCTGCCACCAACATATGGGGGACTAGCAAGTGGTGTTCTGCAACAGGCAGCAAAGCTCTCTACACAAAGGATTGATATCATCTTTGATGCCTATCCTGTACAATCAATCAAAGAAGTTGAGAGAAATCGAAGAGGCTTGGATGAAAAGGAGGCCAGGTTATATGCAATCACTGGACCTGAACAACGCCGCCCTAGGGATATCAAAGACCTGATGAAGTCAAGGTCCTTCAAAGAAGTGTTTCCCAAATTCCTGGCCACTGAGTGGAAATCACAGCATTATGCGTATCTGATTGAAAAGAGGCATGTCTACCTCCCCTACCTAGGTTCATGCTTTCACTTCTATGTCCGCAATGGACAGGTCATGAGAGAAGAAGTTGAGAACTTGAAAACTAATCATGAGGAGGCAGACACACTGATCGCAGCCCATGCCAAGTTCATAGATGGTGAAGGAGGTGCCAACAACATTGTAGTCAGAGGATCAGACACTGACATTGCAGTGATCCTCTTATACCACCGCTGGGAAATAAAAACCCACATTTGGATGGATGTTGGTAATTCATCAAAAAACAACAGACGGTACCTGAGCATCACATCAATTGCCAATACAATCGGACATCAGGTTTGCAGTGCACTCCTTGGGTTCCATGCATTAACAGGGTGTGATTACACCTCGGCATTCCATCGAAAAGGCATAGTCAGACCATTTGCACAGGTGTTGAAAGATACTTCAGCTCAGAAGGCTCTCTCATCCATGTCTACAGGACAGCTTACAGAAAGAGACCAAAAAGCTTTGGAGACCTTTACAGCAGAGATGTATGGAGCAAAGGGCAAATCGGCTACTTCATTAAATGGGTATCGTTACAAGGTGTTCGAGAAGGCCTATGGACCAAAGGCAAGGTGCAAGAATGCTTTAGAAAAATTGAAGGGCATAGATCCTCCTGAAAATCATAGATTCATAGATGCTTCCTCCTTGTGAATCTGAGTTATCTCAACATATTAAACGAGCATCGTTTGTAGCAAGGATGTGGGCCACTGCTACTGCAAGGAATATAATACAGCATCCTTCGCCAGATGATGGATGGGACCTGAAGGACGGACATTATGAAGTCATTTGGTTTGAAGGTCCTGAACTACCAGAATCATTGATTCCAGCAGAAGGTGACCTTCCTGAAGAAGACTCTGATGAAAACTTTGAGATTTCATCCTCTGATGAAGAAAGCTGCCTATCGTCAGATGAAGAGTAAGAATGTCTTTAGCTGCATTATGGGAAAACGAACATTCACCAGACAGGGTACTGTGCAGAAAACTGTATAGAAAGCTAGTATAGTTAATACCATATGCTAAGGCAGTATAATATAGATTGGCTGATTTATTATATCCTTTTGGCGGTTTTCCGCATTATATCAGGGTTTTTTGTACCTGTCTACATGTATTTTGACCCTTGCTGCTGGTGTATGTTTGACATTCAGTATTGAGGATGGCTGTATATCTTCACCCTTTCTCACTATGAAAATCATTCTGAAATGGTCATGTCACTAAGTGGATTTGCTTGATGATATCAAATTAATGCATTTTACACTTTATATAGATGTATTCAAACTTTGAAGAGTGGTTACAAAACTTAAACTGTGTTTTTCAATCTTGATTATTAGGTAAAAGTGCAATTTACTACAGGTGTTCAATAATTTGTTGTCCTAGTAAGTAAATGCTGTAATCAGAATGGAGCAAACCAAAAACACAACTTTTTTTCTAACTAATTTTGATTGTGATTATGTTGTTGTGACTCAGAGACCCCATTCTAAAGGGGTCTTTCTGCCATCATTTTTGTTCTTAAGTTCACTATGTGACACTATGTAATGAAGTTGGTTTCAACTGCACACCTTTTATGTTAAATAAAACTGTAATTAGCACTAATTAACTATGTTCTTAATTAGTGCTTCCACCAAAATAAATGTTCTTAAGTTGGCTTTTTCCATTCAGTGAACAGTCCCGCATCAATTGGCACTGAAATAAAGTCTGCACTTCCCATGTTGAATAAATCCATTTTTGGGGGGTGTGGCAGGGTGTGGCCCTTCTTAAGGGGTCTTTCCACCATCATTTTTCTTCTTAAGTTTATTTTTCTAACTACTGAGATGTGACACTATGTAATGAAGTTGGTTTCAACTGCGCACCTTTTATGTTAAATAAAACTCCAATTACCACTAATTAATTGTTCTTAATTAGTGCTTCCACCAAAAAAAATCTTCTTAAGTTGGATTTTTCCATTCAGTAAATACACCTGCTTCAACTGGCATTGGAACGAAGTCTGCATCTCCCATGTTAAATAAACCCATTTTTGGGGGGTACTTTGGGTGTGGCCCTTAGCCACACCCACCACTTGCGAAACTTAAGAATCACATTTCCTGGCACATTTTAGCCTCATAAGCATTTCTGATACTACAGACCTTCCGCACCTTTCATGTTGAATAAATGTCACCTAGCTCCTGCACTATTACACACGTCCATGATAATGGTGAAACAACGCGGAGGGGAAAATAACTGATTAACATAGAGCGAGATAAAACATTAACATTACTAGTCACATTTCCAGCCCTTATTTTCTAATCCAAAAAAATACAAACATACGATGTCATAATAATCGTTTTACACAGCGTTTAAATTGTACGTATTACAGCCATATACAATGCACTCCCCTTCGGGTCAGCTATAAACTTTCATCAGTTACGACCTTTGCGTCCGCCATTAGCGTCCGCGAATCTGGCGCGCGCATGTCCAATAACTAATATTTAGATATTACATGAAACAAAATCAATGACCATACACCAGCGTACAAATACCCGTCTATATTTAATATATGACAGTATTGTTTACAGTTAGTGAGGAACTCTAACATTTCCCACCTGTTAAACAGGGTGAAAAAGGAGACAATCGATCCCGTGTCTGGCCTTCACGAAAGTCTCTCAGTTCAAAGAGAAAACCCTGTGTTCGTGAAGTATAGGCACAGGTCCACTGCCACCTACTGGTTGACCATGTACCACTGTTCCTCTCCTTTGTTTTATTTATGGCAATAAGGGCTTAAACAGGTTTTTATTAACATGACTAGTACCTTTCCTTTCCTTTAAAATGAATCATAAAACAAACAAAATCAACCATAAAGTAATGCTAAGGGTATCCAAACATCAACATACAAACACAAATGTGACCACACATTGTGGGTGTCACACCTTCCCCGATAACAAAATGAGCTCCCGCCAATACAAACTCTTGCCAACGTAAAAAACTTCAATACGTCATGAGTGTGCTGGGGAGGTATGAATGCCCCGTCACTATGGCTGGTGGTGGTGTATAGTACTGGATGTTCCACATAGGGGTATAAGATACACTTTGGACCCTCACTGCACTAACTAAAGGGTTAGCCTGTAAGGACGGCTGACCTAATGATTCATATGTGAAGAGCCGTCTCTGTCTTTTCTGTCTAGTTGAATGTCTTTTACTTACGTGTCTGTCTGCCATAAGAGTATCTCTTTGTCCCTCTCTTCAGCCTCATCACCACTGCTAAAATGTCCTGCATCAGGAGAGGCATCTTATTCAGGTTGTATTGCTGGTCCTGCTTCGGTTGTTTCCTCTTGTCCGATTTGTTCTTCCCTTCTAGGTACACCAGTGGAGTGGGCGTCCAGATTGAAGGCTCCCTGGCTTGGAGTAGGCCGTTCAAGGTGAGTATCCCTCTCCCATACAGGTATTCGGAGCCAGTAATCCCCTGTACTCTGGTCACTCTCTGAATCAGTTGTGTTCCTATCCCGAAGTGGTCTGCTGGTCTTTGTCACTCTCTGTCTCTTGCTTTGCCTCTGGTGTTGATCTTGCAGCACAGGTTTAATTGAATGTGACTGTGTTCCCACAGGTAAGTCATTGACAAGAAGCAGTAGGTTCCGGTGTAAAGTCCTGGTTTTCTTCTGAACTCCCAATTCTGGTGCAACTACATACACGAGACTGCTTGCCACCTGCTCCTTTACAATATGACCTCACCCTGTCGACTCCTGCCGTGTACAATTGTAAGCATGAATCACCTGCGGCAAGTAGTCCTTCCAGTGTGTCTTCTCCTTGTCTCCCAGTGTTCGCAACATCTGTAGGAGTGTTCTATTAAGCCTTTCAACTGGATTGCTCCGTGGATGATATCATATGGAGATGTCCTGGAGTGGCCTACCCCAGACAATCGTTGAAGGTTTTGGAACAGTTCGTTCTCGAATTCACGACCTTGGTCGTGATGCAACTTCGAAGGGTATCC